CTATTAAACTGTTCGCTTATTTCACGTCTCTTTTATTTCTATTGCTTTATTTTCTCTCTTTCCTTCTCTAAGCTCAATTCACTATTCTTCTCAGTTACACATAACCTGATTTAACATTATTACTCCATTTTCATTATAGCTTCTCTTTTTCAAATATGGCAAATGTTATGCTAACATTATTGCATTTTCGATGAAACCCGATATGGTTTCTTCACAACACTTATGTACCCATAAGATGTTTGCGAATAATAATAATACATGACTTCTCATTGTAGTCTGTCGTATGAATTCCGTATGATTTTGACGATTTTCTCAGGTACATCATGATGTCGAAGAATTTTTCGTAAGGTTTTCCTATCTACGCTGTTCAATGCCTCAACATAATCAGGGAAGTTGATGTATGATGACGAGTTTCTTCAATAGATTGTTCAAGATGATCCATAGTGTCGCGATTTGGTCTGTGTACGACCGGTCTTTACGTAATCCAGCCTGTTGGCTCCGAAGTTGGGCGTCTACTGGGTCTTTCATACAGTTCAGAAACACTGTTCAAAGCTTTTTCTGGTACCGTTAGTAGTGTGACGACTCTGTAGTTCTCACATTCGCTCTGCTCATTCTTCGATATATTGATGAGAAATCCTTACTTCCGGTACTTTATCACTTGTTCTTCCTCCTGAGCCTTCCATAAAGGAACGTGGAGTATGTTTCCGGTGACTTTTGTGTCTGACTTCTATTCATATTAAATATATTGTTCTATCTCCGGCCTAAATGTTTCCTCCATCACATATAGGCAGTTGTTACGATACGACGATCCAGCGTAAAGAGTGATATGAATTCCACGAAATATATCATATATTAGACAGTGAAATCGTGGAAAATCTACAATTTTAAGGTTAGGTCCATCATTGGAGCAGTACTAATTACGGAGTAGACTATAATTCTACAGATCTATCTGGTTCTCCGTGGTGTGATCCGGTGAGATACATGAAGCTTTGTGAACGCATATGTGACGGAATATTGTGCCGCCTATAATCAATTTGCTGAACGCACAGTGGTTTGTGTATCTCTCCCAGTCCGTATCCGGTGTTGTCGATTTAGACTTTGGCGTTTAGGTCTCCCATCCGGATGGCGAGATCCTTTCTTGAGCACCTCACTGTAATTGATTTCAGCATCTTGTAGAACTGATCTTTATCGTCGTCAGTGATGTCATTGGTGGGTGCATAACATTGGATAGCATTAATTGTAATCCCCTCATTTGTTGTGAAGTATGCTTTAATGATCCTGGGTCAATGAGCTTCTCATCTTATAAGCGGATTACGTGCTTCTTTGGACAGCATTAGAGCAACTCACTGAGTGTGTAGAGCATTCTCCCATCGCGGCTAAAGTTTACTGCCCAGCTTGTGTCCATTGGTTTTCGCTGATTCCGAGAACCGCCAACTTGTATTTACAAAACTATTTGACTGATCCTTCCGGTCTACCACATTGTATGGACGTTCGATGTACCTATATTAATTGTTACTCTGATTATTGGAAGGGACATCGACCTCGTGACTTCCGAAGAATCTCGGCATTCACCATGAAGCGTCATAACTTTTCTAAAAAAAAGATCACTGAACTCCGAAGATGGAATTCAAATGGTTAGCGCCTTTTAACAAGTTTTTTCTACGGGATGAAGTGGCTGATCCCACAGCGTACTCTCCCTTTTTACTCGGTTTTGAAACTCGAAGTATTCTTAAAGAGTTACTTGCGTAGTTAGTTGCGAACTGATTGGAAAACAATTCAATATTAACTATCCCTACAAAACATACTTCCCATAACACTCGATTTATCGCATTATTTTTTCTCACACTGAGACCAACCAAACATACTGCCTGTCAAGAGACATGTACGGTCAAAGAAGTGCAACTGAGCTTTAATTAAACCATCCTGCAGTCCAGTCAATGAGTGTCAAGCAGTCCACTGATCTTCGTTTAGGTCACGAACAACTAACACGCATAGGTAATTTGTTCGCCATGGACTGGAATATGCAGCAGTGATCAAAATTTGTTCCTTGTACCCATTCTTACTAACAAACTTTTGTTATAACGTCGTTTTGTGTTGCATGGTCATCAAAGCAGCCATCAGGCTTGCTTACGAAGAAAGGGTAATCCACGTTTTGTACTAGACACGAGGTGTGACTTTGACGTTAGTTGGTTGGTCACACCATCCACGTTCAACTGGAGTAGGCTTACAGTTATTTGGTGCAGGTCAACCACGTTGGTGAACCGCAAATCCTAAAACCCTGAGACAAATTCACTCAACCGAGCGACAAAACGTACAGTTCAACAAACAACCAAGCTGACTAGGATTGGTACAGTTGGGTGGCTAGACTATCACCCACCGACACTGTCAAGTACATGGAGCCGTATCGAAACAACAGTATATTAATTGGTCTATACAAGTTCATGGAGAAGATATTAGATAAATTGCAATGCACACATTTACGGGTATTGAATACGTATAACTACTAGCTCAGAGAAATTTAAATATTTTCATTTTACTTTGTTGAAGATATAAAAATTTTTCTTAGAGCGAAAATAGACGAAAATTTAACTTATTCACGTGTTCTTGTTCGTTGAGACAATATTGGATATCGGATTTATCTGACTGAACTTTACGACTGCTGCGTTACCGCGATGGAATTAATGTGGTGAAGCAGTCAGTTTCATACGTCGTCTACATGCAAGGAGATAAAACTGCTCGAAATTGTAAAATGTCACTTGGGTTTACATATTTTTAGACGGAATATAAAGTAGCCGTAATCTTAGGCAATATAATGGGTTGACTTAGTCTTCAGTCTTCAGTAATAAGGATAGTAGGTTGATGAACCTGTGTTAATCCTGACACATTGCTTTCCAGTGAAGGTCCAGCTTTTCCTTGAAAGTATTCACTGATGGGGCTGATACCACTTGTTCGGGTAAGGCGTTCCAATGATTGATTACTCGATGAGAAAAACGGGATCCCAATTTAAGTTTATTAGATCGTGGTTTATGAACCTTCTTGCTATGACCTCGGAGATTATTAGTGCTGGAGGGAGCAAAAAGATAAGACATATTAACACCCAAATCATAATTAAAGATACGAAATGCCAGTATAAGGTCACCTCGTGTCCTACGATACGACAAGGGGAAAAGATTTAGGCGTTTTAAGCGCTCATCGTAAGGGAGACTAGAAAGACCCTTCACTAATTTCGTTCCCACACGCTGGACACGCTCAAGGGAGTTAGTATCCTTTACTAGACACGGGCTAGCTGCTTGGATACAGTACTCTAAATGTGGTCTAACATATATGGGGTATAAAATTCGAAACGTTTCCTCGTCAAAAGATTTGAACGCTCGGCGAAGTGACCATAACGCACGAAAACCTTTGACAGCGGCTGCTTTGCAATGCGCAGTTGTTTTTAAGTCATGACTTAATATTACTCCTAAGTCCTTATGCTCTTGAACGCATGGAAGAGGTTTACACTCAATAGTGTAACGGTAACTATTACCGTGACCGACGTGCATTAGTACACTCTTCCTAGCATTAATTTCTAAGCCCCACTCTCGAGCCCACCTAACTAAATCGTCTAAATGAGCTTGAAGATATTTAGTGAGTAACAATGGGCGGTGTGACTATAATTTATGGACGACCTTTGAGCAACGTTCGAGTGACCTTGGGAGTGTCCACTTGACAACTATGACTAAATGAGGGTTATAAACCAGTGTGCGGAGTTAGAATTATGATTTACAGTTGATGATTAGGTTTATGAATTGGATTTAGGGTTTTCATAATGAACTGACCTCAGCTATAATGCAAAAACTCTATTTAGCCAAATAGGTGACTGAATTTCGCTCTAAAATCCGGGGCCTGCTATAAATTAAAGTCTCACCACGGTTAATAGGCTATTTAATCACCTCGTAATAGATTATTTCGACACCAAGATGGATTTTTCGGTGTTTCTATTTTGTCGATGTGAAATTACTTTCTTTGCGACATTGGTGTCGTAAGCATAAGGCTTTTATGCTTGACTGACGGGAGATATTTGGTTTTGCCTTTCTTGTTTGGAGACAACACAAAGGTTCGGGTGATATTAGATAGTAATGCTAGTTATCTTGGTCTCTAGGCTGATATGGATGAGTAACCCTGTTTTTACTGAGGGGGGTGTTTGGAGATCAGTCCCAAATAGGATGAGGCGCGCGTTTTGTGTTCCACGGTTAGCCGCTGTCCAAGTCTGCTTATGTTGCTTGTGACTGTATGGCAATAGTTGGTAGTTTGCGAATGAGGCACACATGCCAAAGGAGATTGTTTAGTTTCAGTCCTTATCATCAGTCGTAGGATCCAAACAACCAATACAAATGAATTAAAATTCGCCCCAGTGATTAACCGGACTTAGTAGCTTAGCGGATAACGCAATAACAGGCGGTACTAGGTTCAAGTGCTGGAGATAACATCAACCCTGTGATGCATGTATAACTAGCTAACGAGTCCTAAATAGGATGCATCGCGCGTCTTGAATTCCGTTGCCAGACACCATTTAACTCTGATGATAACGTAAGTTACTTATCAACCAGATTTATAAAATAGGCTCTAAATTATACTGTTTATTTAAATGCTATTGATATTACCTGACTTCCCGAAAAAATAAGATGAACCAAGGTTCTTACCTGCGATTTTTATTATCCAAACATATATCTGCTGCTCAAAGACTGATGTTGATACATTAATTCATGCATACGTAGACTGCTGCACAAGTTAGTACTAGGAATCACGCATTTAATTATCTGTTTTTACATATTCATATGTTAGATTCATTATATTTCGCTTCTATCGCGTTTCCTACCATCATCAACTGTGTTGACTTTGTTTACCAAATATGATTTGCTTTTTATTAAAGGGTCTGTGTATCCTTGTCAATCATTGTCGTCAGTCGTTAAACCTTATATTAGTTTAAATCGTGAATAGCACTTTTCTGAGACTTCATAATGGCGGTCTTGGGTGAAGAGTGGTTTGCTGTTGGAGACATTTATTTCAGGTACTTGTTGATTTGATTTTTATTGTATTGTAGAAAGCTTCATCTTTACGATATGCCGTGGGGTATGGGATTTTCAATATCACAATTCAAGACATCGATTTGTCAGTATTCTGGTTATATCGGTAGGGATATTTTTACCAATAGTTTAAGTTCACTTAGCAATGTATTTGGATGGCCAAGCGGGAGCGAAACCTATACTTCAAATATATACATCATCAGGCAAACTCGTTTCCCAAAGTGTTGTGAGTTGATTTCAACTTTATTTGTTAGTTCGGAATTGAATGTGTAAATTTATCTTTTAATTAACATGACAATTAATACTCAGTGTCCCGCAATACTTTCTGTTTGAGATCTTATGGTTAGAAGAAAGTTATTCACACTGTAGCAAATCCAGAAGAAGATAATGTTACAATCCTAAATTTGTACACTAAGACCTAGGTATGGATTCAAAATAACTAGTACCAACTGAAAACATTGAAAAAAGAGCCCAGGACAGAGTTGTTTTGAGAATTCTGGTCAGTGGCCTATGTTCACGTGTGGGGTAACAGGCGTAGGCAAGAAATGGGTTTATATTTTTTATGTGACCGTAGAGATGGCCGTGTTTTAACTGCCGATGAGAGCGTTGAACAGTGTTTTTTGATTTGAAATCAAACAAATTACGACAATAGTTGTGTCATGAAGTTCTCTGAAATTCACCTGTTTGTATAAGCCATTAAACATCAATTACAAGATGGAACGTAACTATCATTGAAGGGATTACTTGAATATTACTCCTTATAGTGAAGCCCTTATGTAGACTTTGATCGTTTATTGTTTGACGTACTTGTGTCCATATTTTTAAACATACAGAAGAGACGTATATCGAGGTAAATTTGCCATTTTTGAAGTTAATATGCACATCAAGTGTACTTATGAGGAAAAACTATCCGGACGAGTTTTATATTAACTTCCTAGCGTGCTTCAAACTAGCCTGTGCACAATTACCAACTTTGACCGGCGGAAAGAGGCTAAAAGAAGTAAACTACGTACGAATTGTTCGTTAAAATGGCTTGCTCAAAAAGCTATAATATTGGATTTTTGTTTTAAAAAAAGCTATATCTAATATATTATTTTCATATAGTTTTTAGATATTAGTTCGAAATTACTGACTAAATCGAGACATTGGTTAATGTGTAGATTTCAAAAGTAAAAGAAGTCTGTTTGATGTGCTAGATTTCAAAGCCCCTTAACTAAAGTGTTTTAAGTTTCACTTCACGGGACCACTTAGTATGTTGACTTATGCATTCTGATTAAATACGATAACCCATTTGGCTTTGTAAATTGGAGCTTTATTTTTTTTGTCTTCATCAGTACAAAAAGACACTTGGTAATTATCGATAGAACACTGAACTATTTTCGTGGAGTTTGGAATCTGCCCCTGATAGAGCTGAGTATATCTTTATGAAAGTCATGAACTAATGCATATCTGTTACAAGTCGTACATTTATTAAGCTAAATGAAATCCATTTTCACAATATGTAAGAAAATTTGTTGATTACCATTGTTGAGAACAATTTGAGAAACCCTTGTTGAGATGGTAGATAGGCAGGTAGTGATAATATGTCTGTCTTTCCGTGCCAAAATAATTCCCGGCCGTATTGTAAGCTAGAGTAATTGAAAGTAGTTAAGTTGTCATATTTGTTGATGTTTGATTTTCTGGAAACAGTGATGTAATTAAAAAGCTTTCGTTGTTATCACATTTAATAGAAACTGAATCATTGTCACTTGTCCAACTTCTTATCTAGATTTACTTTTCGACATTGAATTCATTCCATAATATGAAAAAATTAAACTTCCTTTTTTTCAGTGGAAAGATGCACCTGGTATATTGCTTGGTTGGACTTTGTCAGAGGATTTATTAGTTATCCAAAAAACAGGATTCACTACCATATTAGATCATCAGGGCAAGTTTGTTCGACGTTTTAGTATGGGACCTGAAGCTGAAGAAAGAGAAATAATTAGTGCTAAGCTTTTTACCATTGATTATGTAAGTCTTGCCGTATTGATACTATTAGTATGAATTAGTTATTGTTCTCATTTGAAATTTCCGAATCCAGATTTAATAGATGTGCCACGAACTTCTTAATTACTGAATTTTCTGTGAAACAGCGTAACTGTATTTAATAGAAACAATGTATAGTTAATAGGTTGACAGTTTTTGAATACAATTGTATTAGTGAGCTGTTTTTAGAAATTTTAAATGTCCTACAGTAATTTCATACGTCAAATAGCTCAATATTATATTATAGGGTATAATCACCGAATTGCTAGCTAGAGTTTTGAGAATCATAGACAGGATTTCCATCGCATTATAGCTTGATATAATCTTCAGTTTGCCATAAAACAGCATCAACGAATGTTATCAACCTTTGGCGAAAAGTTATAAAAGGTCAGCTTATTTTATAAATCCTTCCTAAACCAATCAACGCTCAGGGATTGAGCTTGGTAATTTCAAAACACAATAAACTATTGGACTGGATGCACTAAGTCGTTTCCATCAGGACTGCTTAATTTCTGTGTAAATATGTCATAGCTATGTTAGTAGGTGTGACAATTTTTGAGTCTCAACCCATTTTACCAGATATGCAACTGCTTTGTTTGATCAGAAATTTCTGAACATATAAAAAAGAATTGTGTATTCAAACACCACCGAAACAAGTTATGGAGTATTGTTTCCTCTTAACTTATCGGATCTCGAAAGAAGAATCTTTGTGAGTACTGGTTTACTGAGAACGAAAATTATCAACATTCTAAAGCCTCTTACAACTAACATTGACCATCCACAAAGGGTTCCTCTTTTTTTATCTTCCCTTATTTAATTTAGACCAAAGCTAAAAAGTTAGTGTACCTCTAATTTTAACCAGTTTCTGAAACTTTTTATATGCTTCAAACGGTGTGCATAATGGACTTCTAAGGGTGTGAAAATTATAGCCCAACCATCTATGAGCGCGAAATATTGCTAATATTTGCCTGTTACTTTTTTGGCATGTCCAACGCTTTGTCTTTATTAAAGTCAAGTGGTGCCTTCAAATTAGCTATTTGACTTTACCTTCGCTCACTATTTCATAGTCGTAATTAATAATAATTGATTCATGTTATTATATATATATATAGAACTTGCTGCTTTCAGTATTAATGTAGGACATCTTTTTTTTAGAATACAGGAATAGCTGTTCTTACTGGTGGAAACCACATATATGTAACTACCAGTATCGAAACTCCACGTATGCGACGCCTTGTAGAATTACCTGGACCAGTAAAGTCTTTGTCACATTGGACTATTGTCACAACACCTCTTGAAACTGGAACACCTGATTCTTTTCGAAGCCCATGGGTGATGTTTTCAAACAAAAAGAATTTGTACCGAGCTGACTTTGGAACAGTTGAAGGTGTAAGTACTTCCAAGCTTTGAATTGTCTCAAACCTCGCAGTGAATCAGAAAGGGAGCTATTAGTTGTGATGCGTAGGATTACAAAAATAGAAATTATTAAATTATTTTATTACTCCCATGCACGATGCAGGATTTCAATGAATACATATTTGTTTAAACATAGTCTGAACCTGTGTTTCCTTCAAATTTATCGACCATCGTTTGATATTCATTACTTTCCTAATCCCTGTGTGTAATATTAGTCTTATCTGTTATTTCTGCACCAGTCAATATCAGTCACATTCAATAAAGCGACTATCATTACTACTTTACTCAGGAGTCTGCTTGGTACTTGCTTCTTTTTGGAGTTTACTTTCATCAGAATGTCAACCTATTTTACAATAAATGCTCCTTTTCCTTATATTATAGATGTGAATATTAAACTTTGTGACCTTAGTTTACCGTCAATAACTTCGTCTAGCATGACTTCAAGATACTCATCGGTCTATATTCTGGAATGCTATGCTTCTCAAGTGCACACTGTCCACTATTATTTAATAAAACTAAATTAGTTTCTCATTCACCAACCATTTTCCCCACTTGTTTTTTTTATCACTTAACGTAGTTTCTATCGATAAGTAAATTAAAATCAGTTGTTTTATTTTTATCAAACTCCTAAATCATTTAAATATAAGTCCCCTTTGTACGATAGAGATGGATTTTAGCAGCCTGAATAATTAGAAGTTAATGTCGGTTGCTGACAAAATAGTATCTATTTAAAAAAAACACTCAACTGTTTTCTACGTCATCTGTTGCTGCGTGTACTCACTAAACAGTCAGTTAATCATAATAAACGTAGAGCCTGGCACAAATATACAGTAATCTAAGACGCTCTATCACGTTGAGGCAGCGAGATGAAGGCAACAAGACGAATTGTGAAAGGCATAATGAAGGATATGATTCGGAAGAAGACAAAAGGAGGAGTAATGATGAACGGATTATGGAGCTTAAGATCTAGAAAGTTAGAGGAAATTCATCTGCGCCATTGTCATTGTTTCTAAGCGATGTCATCCAATGTGCCCAGCAACTGATCGTAGTTGTTGTGCATAGCCCAGTCAGGCAGTCTGCATCTACCAGCATGGTTCAGATCAGTAACCAGTGTCCTCGTGAACTGATGCCAAGCCTTAGTTTGACCACCCTTACTTTTTTTCCAACTTACATCTACACCAGCTAATATCACGCGTCGAGGTAAGCCATGGCTAGACATGTGCAACACGTTCCAATCACCTCAGATGATGGGAATTCAACATACTAAACAATGTTTTATTCATGAGGTTTTCCTCAAACATATATATTTTTTCTCTACTATCCAGATTGATTTGTCAAAGCTTACTAGGTCAACTGGTTCTGATATTTACTTATTGTCTATATCTTTGAATATGCAATTTGTTGCAATTTATTTAACCAATGGTGAATTGTTAATTACCAATACGCGATTTACTGAATTACATTCACATATTGACTTGACCCAACGTATATCAGTTATGTTGGTGAATAATAATAATTCAGCTAATCAAAAACTCAATCATCCTAAAACGATGCTTTGGTTAACTAATTCAGCTGTTGTGCTTCAATGGAATAATTTAATTGCTATTATAAGTACACAGTCAGATATTTATGAAACATTTTATGCTGATGATATATTCTTAGCCCAAGAGGTAAGTAATATATCTTATTTGTGTGTGTGGACAATATGTGTTTCAATTGACGAGGCTATATTCAATGTTTATTGATTAGCATAGATGTTTTTAGTACTATTAACAACAATACGATTTTCAGTAATAGATTAATTAAGCATCTTAATATCTGCTCGGTACGTATTGATACTTCCGACAGTTGAATGAGTAATCTTAAGATTATTCATTTATAGTGTTGATGAGTTTGGTCTCTCTTTATACAAACCAATTCATAAAGGTTAAATATCGTGAAATGATGAGAGGTATTTCAAGAATACATATCACATTTCTTGTTTTCTTTCTCAGTCTATTATTCATTACTTCATAACACTAGTAGTTAGTTATCTCATTGTTGATATTAGAGCCTGAATTGTGATCAGTCTTTATTGGTATATCCACCATATCCTGGCGCTCCATCCAGGCTATCTGAACTCAGTGAATAACCTGTTAGGTGATTAAAGCAACGGTTGTTGTGTAAACAGCAACACTGGAGTAAAAGTACATCCAGCTGACTAGCCCAAAGTGGAATGAAAACTACTCCTTACCACAATTCGAAATATGGCTACTTTAGTTCTAGTCATAATTCTGCAATTTTCAAATAAATTTATTTTTTCATCCCATATTAGAATAGTATTCATGATAAATTTTATTACCAGTGACTGAAAAATAGTTTCATCTTTTACTAGATGTTTCATTATCCGAGGAAATGTGGTTGATTGTGTTGCATCGAAAACTAGATATCAATGGAATGTTTATTTGGTGAAATGAATTAGTTATCAGTCCATTGTACTGTGAAGGAATCAGTTACCATATTACACATTGGTAAAGTATCCAACATTGGGATAAAAACAAAATCCTCCCCAATTCTCCGACTTCTATCAGCTCTTCTAGATGATAGTAATGTTTTATGAAAGCTGTTTTTTTAAACAAAGTCCTCAATATCATTCAAACTAAATTTCGATTGATGTTGAAACATTCCAATTCTCATCATGTTTTTTCTGTCTTATTTTTCTTTATTAACAAACGTACACACATATTGTATCATTAGATTGATGGAATTCGCATTCTATCACCTACATCACACGAATTATTACAACGTGTACCATCCCCATTAGAATCACTTGGACGTATTGGAGCATCGTGTCCAGCCACATGGTTATTGTCTGCAAGTAAGAGTTTAAAAATCAATTGTGGACGTACTAATGATTATTTATTGCCTATTAAACAACCTAATCAAATGATTGATGCAATATCACATTGTATTGAAGCAGCATGTCATGCAACTGTTGATCCTATTTGTCAACAAGAACTACTGGAATCTGCTCATTTAGGTCGAGGATTATTATCAGCTATGATGAATACTACTCCTAATGCTACTATTTCTTCTACCACTGTTACTAACAATAACAATACAGGTCATTATTCAGTTGAGGCTAAATTGAAAGAACTGTGAGTTTGTTTGTTTTCTGCACATAATTACTCAGTTAAAGAATTTCTTTTGTTTAAGATAATTCAGTAGGTTATACAAATACTGTATTTAAAAAAAATATGATAGAATAATTTATCAGCGATTGTGATTTTTTGAGCTTTATGGTTTAATCGTGAGGCTTTCATTGCCTTCCTCGACAATATTATCTAATTCAAAATGATGTAAGCTTTTGAAATTCCTTAACGACTAGCAGCTTGTTTTTTTTTTAAAAATTGAATATGATTAATTGCTCCTGATAATTGTGCTGATACAGTGTCTACATAAAATCATTTCGATAGTTTTTTCCCTTTAGATCTTATTGTTGATTCTGGTTTTGTTTATCATTTTCCGGATTGGTTGGTAAATTGAGTCCCATACTAGGATGAAATAGCCGTCCAATAATTCTGGGTTCCCAATGGTGGTTTAACATTGACCGGTTCATGATTTCAATAAAACTCAACAATCTCCACAACTCTATACTGAAATTGAGTTATCCTCAACACCACTAGTTTCTCGCTCCTACTCCTTATTCTTACCTAAAAAATGTATCGGAGACTTTATAGAATGATTGCATAAATCCACTGAATATTTTAGTGTTACTGAAATTCCCCATGAAATTCAACAGTCGATCGTAGAAGAGTATTTGTTTTGTGTGATTTTAGCATACTATAAAATCGCTGGAAAATAGTTTTAATAAACCTTGTTTCATTTTTTTATTTGTCCTGCTTTGATGAGCTTGTTTGTGATCTTGAATATAAAGTTGTCGACATTTTGATTGGATTTCTTGGTGATGACTAATATATACTTTTATTCTTAAGCAATTTAACTTTATTAACGTAGTCGTCTTTGTAAATATCTATTGTGGTGTATCCTTTATCAACTGCAATCGTAACTATGTCTATCCTATTTCTGATATCTTTTAGCGCTTTATACTCCTCTGTGGTTAGTTGACTGGCGTTTTCTTCCGTTTAGCCAGAGGTACCACCATCTTATTTCCACAAATCCTTATAGTTGATATTCAATGGTTGACTGCAGTGCACAGAGGAATTCTAGTTTTGAGGATTTTTCTGTTTTGCATTTCAACTTTTAACGTAGATATTTTACTGAGGTTGTTTTGAGAAACGGATATCATAAGCGTATGTTTTTCTTGTTGGTGGATTCAAAATTTTGATTAGATTGTCTTTGAAGGTGTTTATTCTCTATTTTTTGTGTTATTTTACTTGATTTCTCAATCGCGATTGTCAAATTTTTAGAGTATTCCGGTTTCTATGTTCCCTCAAGCTTTTCCTTTTGCCCATGGTATTTAACAATCTTTTGATAGGTATGGATTACCATTAGTCGTACAATTTGATTTCCACCTTGTTGTTCGGTCATTCTGCTGAAGTGTAACATCGATTGTATGGCACGTAACACAGCCACTTTCGTTGGTACAGGTTCACAACGTCATAAACAGACTTACCATCATCAATTATACTTGACACCTCATCACAACATTTCTCACTTGGTTGCTCCATATCATTTAGTCAGTGGTAGAAAGACATATGTTCAAATACATGACTTAAATCAATCTTCTCATTCTTAGTGGTCAAGTTCCAACCTAGAGTACCCCACCGAAAACTGTTGTGGATTATATTTTCCTTCTGACTGGCGGTAGGATATATTCCCGACACTGTTGAAGCTGTAAGTTCGTAAATGACTTATTCTAATCTATTAAGTTATCCATGACTCATTCAATAGTTTTATTTTACTCTTAAGCCTTAAATGTGTCTAGCTAATGTGGTTCGACAGCATATTAATAATGTATTCCAATACTTTAAATTTGCTAATTTTACATAAAAATTAAGTAGTTACTTTTCGGTTCCTTTTGCATCATAATTTTATTGTTTCTTATAGCGCGGATCATGCTGCAAAGGTTTGTCAAACTTTGCGTTTGTTGAATAGCTTAGCTGTTCCATGGTTAGGTATTGCACTAACGTGGCGTCAGTTTCGTGAATTAGGACCAAACAAATTGTTTGAACGTTTATTGATGCGCCGTCATTACCCAATGGCGATTGAACTTGTTCGAATCCATCAAAAACATAAATGGCCAATAAGCATTCTCGAAGAAAGTCAAAGCAATTATGGGACATGCACATTTACTCGTTTACTTGCCCATTGGGCATGCAATAGTTCTATAACATCTTCAGGAGCAGCTACATTGATATCAGAACGGGTAGCAGCTATTGTGGATAAATTATTCAACAATTCATCAGAGAGCAAATCTAAGTCTAGTAATCATCATGCCAACTATTACAGTACCTCTATTCCTCATTTGGACTTCGCTGATGTAGCTAGTCAAGCTATTTCAGCTGGTCGAGAAACAGTTGCGGAGCAAATATTAGAATATGAGCCACGCGCTTGGCGTCAGGTACCATTACTTTTAAAATTATCTCGTTATAATCGTGCATTAGTTCGAGCAGTAGAGACTGGAAATCCTGAACTAATTACGACAGTTGTGGTAGCATTGCAAGAGCAAAGTAAATTACCCCGGCAGATCTTGCAATGGTACTTCGTCGGCATCCAATAGCTCTGGCCATATATCAAGAGACATTAGAACAAGTTGATCATTCTAAATCTGGTTCTGAAAATTCAACAAAAGCTGCTCTTTTAAATTTTGATCATGAAAATGATCATGCGTCAGAAGCTAAAAAAATTGTTCTCTCAGCCTATCAAGAAAATGTAAGTTGTTCTCTTCTTTTATTTTCTACTTTTCACTCATTTTAAAATATTTGGTTCCCGTGAAGTTAAGTAATCCTTTTTCCAAGTCTCAGACTTCTATGTATGGTTGGAACCACTTAAGCTACTTCTGTTAACCTTCATCACAGGCAATACAGACTGACTCCAAAGAGTGCCTTTATTTGGTGATCTAAGAAGAGTTTTTAGTTCCGTCTTGGTTATTTTGACGTACAATAGGTTATCATTTCAGTTCATTAACAAAAGTTGTATCCATTAGTGATATTCACTATCATCTCAACTTTATGATCAATGCTGTTTTAAAGAACAATTCAATTATCGATGGTTGAGATTGCAAGTAAGCTAATGAATTTCAGTCTATCAAACTTTGAATACACCAATTTCTACGTTTATTTTAATAAAGGTGTTTGAGTATCCCTTGTTAGAGTGATAGTTTAATAGTTTAAGCATTCATTTTCCAAGCAGTAGGTTGGAAACTTGTAATCCATTTAGCATATTTTGATTTGGCCATTCGAGCAGTATTATCAGCTATCACATTTAAAGTATGCCTCAAAAGTCATGTACTATTCTTAATAAGTCGCTCTCATGTAACATTACTTACTTACGCCTGTTACTCCCAATAAAGCATAGGCCGCCGACCAGTATTACTTTGATAAAATAATAATGGTAGTAATAATAATCATTATAATATAATTGGTACAGTTTGTATACTCTTTAATCTTATGATCAAATAATTGATTTTAATTAATTGTAGAGTTTAGCTTCACGATTGACATTATTACAAAATGCTGAAGAGATTTATCGTCAATCAAAGAATGATTTTATGGCTCAGGTAAGCATATGAGTTAAAAAGTTACTTGTATCTGTGGTAAGAAGGTCAGTAGTGATAATCATAATAATACAGTGAAAAGCCAAATATAGAGAAAATACATGAAAAAGAACAAATGAAAACTCAAAATTTAGAGTAAAGTGAAAAATAAGTACAATTTTGGCTAACATTTATCACTCTAAGCAACAATGCTAGCATGTTCGGCATGCGATTCTTCCCCTCGAAATACAAAATGTTACTTCAGGATTGGGTTGCATTGACACCCGAACTAATGATAGGGAGTGAAGTAATTGAGCGTGTCGATCGCTTCATTTATCTTGGAAGTCTCATCAGCCCTTGTGGTCTGGTGTGTGACGAAATCTCAGCACGGATACAGAAGGCTCGACTAGCTTTTGCCAACTTGCGTTATTTGTGGCGTAGGCGAGATATCCGTCTATCAACCAAAGGACGGGTTTACTGCGCAGCAGTTCGTTCGTCCTACTTTATGGCAGTGAAACATGGCCGGTAAGAGTAGAGGATATTCGTAGGTTACTAGTATTTGATCATAAGTGTCTTCGAAATATTGCTCGTATATCCTGGGACCATCGAATAAGTAATGCAGTTGTTAGGAAACGGGTACTAGGTAAGGATGGCAAATCAATTGATGAAGTAGTGAAACTTCATCAGTTGAGATGGCTGGGACACGTGTTACATATGCCCAACCACCGACTGCCCCGACGTGCGACGTTCAGTGGTATAGGAGTAGGTTGGAAGAAAGCTAGGGGCAGCCAGATCAAAACATGGCACAAGTCCATGAAGTCACTGACAAGTGGTCTGAGTCATGTTGGTAGGTGTAGACTACCTGGTTGGGGACCGCGAGATGATAGCAACCGATGGTTAGAGACCCTGAATGACATGGCTCAAAATCGTTTGTAATGGCGCAGGTGCATCCACTCTTTGTGTTCTCCCAAATTCTAATCTTCTGAATTCTTCATGTCCCTTTTTTCCTCTTCCCAAATTTATTTCACTGTATTATACTCTTTAAATAACATCTCCAAACCCTAATCTTCCCGATTACTGCTTATACTCTTATTACCTCTACCACTACGGGATTTGAATCGACAACTGCATCTCTGTGCTAATATGGTGTGGCAAATCGAACTGATGTACGTACGTACGAAGTTCTACGTTGTTACTGACAGACTGACTAACATTTATCACCATGAATTACAATCATTACATGAACCTCTTATCCAAGAAGTCTCCATGTTATCATCTTTCATGTGTTCATACTTGTTGAGCATAATAGATGTCATTTACGAAATATCATGATATTTCCATCCCTAACTACTTCGTATATTTGCTTGAAGAGAGATATTAGAGGAGTGATTTAAGTTTTACACCAATTTATATAAATAGTAATATTAGCAAATATTGATTTGAAACATAAATAGGGCATTTACCATACAAAGATAAATAAATAACCTTCAAATGTGTATGATAATACATGGTACTATTCCAGATAACTCGTGGAACTATTTCATGACAAGAAAACAGGAAATACTCTGGTAAAACATTTTGACAACAATAATTAGTATATAGTTTACGATATATAATACGAGAAATATATATCTTCTGTTTATTTTTAAGTCAATAACTGGGAACTAACCGATGTGCTTGGTTTAGTGTAACTGCATAATGTGTAGTGTAATACATCACCAACTTCTGGATATCATTACCATGAACTGTTCAAGTTTGTTTTTGAAATAATAGACTAGTCATCGTAAGCTATTAGTATTTGACCACAGATGCCTTAGAAATATTGCTGGCGTCTGCTGGGATCACCGGATAAGTAATAGTGAGGTTAGACGCAGGGTATTAGGAAATGATGGTAAATCAGTTGATGAGGTTATGAATCTTCATCGACTGAGATGGTTGGGCCACATATTACGTAAGCCTGAACACCGATTACCACGACGTGCAATGCTATCGGGTATTGGAGATGGTTGGAAGAAAGTTAGGGGCGGCCAAACCAAAACGTGGCATCAGTGCTTGAAGTCACTAACTTCTAGTCTGAGCCATGATGGTAGATGCAGACTACTTGGTTGGGGTCCGCGTGACTTTCGTAACCAATGGTTGGAGACTCTTGGTGACATGGCTCAGAGTCGATCACAATGGCGTCGGCGTATACACTCCCTGTCTTCCCTTAAACTAAGAGATTAAAATCACTTCATATCTTTCTTTCTACGAACCAATTTTTTCTTCTTGTACTATATCTCTATATGCAGTCTTCCTCTTATTTATTACCACCTTTGATCTAACCACTGCTATGAATCCGGTGTTCATCTTGTTGTGCTGATGCGGTATGGCAACCTAAACCGATGCACATATGTGCCTGGTCCTATGTTGTAGCTGACTGACTGAGACTAGTCATCAGTATTATTGTGTATAAATTTGAAATATGCTTTCTACGCGTCAACATTCACCGTCTGTGTAGTACCATTCCGGATCCATTTAAATTCCATCCCATTAAGTTATTTATGTTTCCACACTCATTAAATTTACTGAAATATTAAATAGAGATTATAACTATTCGGATTTCGTTTCTGCTTTTCTCTGTGTCAGCAATGTAACGCACAAGTTCGTCTATTGAAATTTCAAAGTAAACTTGAGAAACAAGAAATATCTGCTCCTGTCTTCGAAATTAAATCTATACCCGGCTCTAATCGTATATTACCCGAGGTAGTACAGTCTGGTAGTATAAATGAGAAGCTTTGGGTTGGTCAGTCGCTAAACACAACACTCAGTCGTTTGTTAGCTTCCGGGCAATCCGAACGTCAAGCAGATCAATTACGCAGAGAATTTAGAGTTTCAGAAAAACGTTTCGCTTTTCTTCGTGTTGTTGGTATGGCAATCAATAATGCATCTTGGTTAGAAATGGATAAAATGATTCGAGCAAAAAAACCACCGGTTAATGTTGAGGTACCCAATAAAAGCCTTAATAATTGTTTTCTAATGATTATGCTTTGTTGCGTTATAATCACTATTTTGTTTCTCAGTGAAAGCACTCAAAAATATCCTAGTTGGGAGTTTTAAGTATGCTAATATTCGCGTTTAGTTTTTTATTTTCTATTAGCACCATAAGATTAGACAAGATGATATTTCTTAATACTGAATAATCAATAAATTGTAATTATCTCAGCCTTGCATTAGATTAATGTGTGGATCGAATAGCTCAATCGTAAAGTTTTAGGTCGTGAATTTTGATGATATGGGTGTGAATCCCACAGGAAACACCAGTTCCTTCAAAATTGGAATTACACCTTGATACCGAGCGCCAACTAGAACGAAACATATATCCAGGGTTTTCTGCCGACTACATCAAACTACCGAATACCGGTTATTTTTTATTTATTTAAATGCTCATCGAATCCATTGTACATCACAGTTCTCTTATCTAATTGACGTTTAGATCAGTGTTAGTAGATTCCTAGTAAAAGATAACAGCTGACAATACATCAGTATTTAGTTGAGGTAGTTTTGTGGAGGTTAAACTCATTTGTTAGTTGGGTACCATTGGAAACTGGAGGGCATTTGACTCCTTAGCAATGTACAACCAAGAACCCGCTCGAGGTCGAAACCAGGACCTGCAGGTCTCGCGGCAAACGCTTAAGCATTAGTACCACCGGGTACAATCTCATTTCCAATCAGTTCGCGATATAGCGCGACGATCATCCAATACCATTAGCGACAACTGTGTTACTTTCGACATGTTTGAACTGTACCATTCAAGACTTCCAAGTAGAATTTGATTAATATATTGAAATCACCAATAAGCTGACTATTACAGTTTGGTTGAGTGATTTTATGGGGATTAATTGTATTTGTAGATTGTATTCCTCACTCAAATATAATAAAGTTGTTAGACAACAGGCTTGCTTTTTTAATATAGGATCAAGATATGGCATAATGAGGAACTTGAATTTTTAACAAAAATATGGTAGTTATCGAGAGCACATTAAATGTTAGTTAAGCAAAAATGGTTAATAAAAGTTTCCACAGAATAAGCTAGATCAATGCAAACTAAACACTATAAATTTTAATTTCCTAGACTATAATGAATGAAACAAGTCACTTGACTAATTGGAATACACACAAGTAGGGTTTCGCACTCCTAATTGAAATGGTCTGTTCAATCCTAAATCGGATTCTATATTTAACAGAAAGAAAAAGCAGCTTTTATTATTTATATCACATAATATGTCACATTAATTTTCAATTAAGTATTCGTATCTTCTACTTCATTCTTAGTTTGTTTGAAACGGTAAAAAGCAACAATTAGAGCAATGACTTGACGTGATTATCATTCAGTGACTTATGGGTTCCTACCTCCCCTTAATCTAACTATATTCGGTTCCACGCAGATATTCTATAACTACTGGCTACCGCATTGCAAAAATAATTGGTACTCAAAGCTTAATCAATAAGTTAATAGAAAGTTTTATTTTAAATTTTAAGCCATACTTCTTTAGTCGCAATAAATTCTTATTATTTTTATTATACAAAAAGATATTAATCAAAATTTGTATCGACGGCAATCGTATAGACGAAGCGATAAAACTAATTTCTAAAGTTCCACCTGAACGAACAGTCCGTTTCTGGGTAATGACTGGGTAAGCAATTTGTTTTTTTGTTAATCACAGTACTATAGAATCATTGATTCTAACCAATTATAACTATGACAATATTAAAAATAATCAATAATTTTACGGGACTGAAAGATCTTCGTTGTCTATTTACATTGTTCTTAGTAGTGTATAAATAAGAGAGAACAAAAAGTAATTACAATAATAAAAGTGAAATACTGACTTTGTTCTCTAATTTATAAAATTTCATAAAGTTATCTACTAGGAGGGAAAAGTCCAGTGCTGCTTGATTTTCAATGGTATCTCAAACAACATTAATCTGTAATAAATACAACCTACAAAATATATAGCAATCATGATAAATCTCGTAAAAATTCATTTCAACAATTTAAGATCTATGGAATTAAGTTGTTTTTTTTTAAACAAAAACGTTCCGTTTTGTTTATTCATCTCATAACTTTTTATTTTACGTACAACTGTTCACATGTTATAGTCTATAGACTTCACATGAGTTTATGCACACAGTAAGAAAAAAACATACACAGGTTACATCTTAGAATATTGAAATGATACTCCAAATATCTCCTTGCGCAAAACAATCAAAAGTAGGACTGAATATTCACAGTTTTAGCTGATTAATTTGCTTTCAGTGAATGGAATTGATGTATTGTTTTTTTTTGGGGGGGGTATATCTGGTAAGATACTTTATCTTAATGAAATCATTTAAGAATATTGCATTTTACTTCGATTACTTAAAAAGGAGAATCGAAGAAGCCATTCAGGTAGCGGTTCGTGAGAAATCAGAATATGATTTATTGTATATTCAGCGTGAAGTTGGAAAAACCAACAAAGAATTATATGATCGGATTACTAATCTACGAGCACAAATTCAGTGATGATTTATATTTTAACACATAAATAACTGGAATTTCTCTGAAACGATGTTAGTTTTATCTACGTCTAATCTTTGTTTTTTTTGAAAGAACAAACCTATCTATTTTTTATCCTTTATGATTTACTTCATCAAACTTGTAAATACCGACTTGTGATCGATTGATTTTTTCTACTGAACTTCTTTCTTCTATTGTACACACATTGACTGATTGTGCCATTTTTTTGCTTAATGGTAAAACCTCTCATAATCCTTATCTGAACATTTGATTTTGTAAACAAAATACTACTGTTACAACAAAATTATTTCCAGTTATTATTTAGTTACACTTGTAGGAGGGGGGCAATAGAGGTATTTATCTGGTTAATTGAAATAAGTCTTTTTTCTTTTAATTGCGTAGATTGATTTCATCAGTATGAAACCAGTGACTAACAAGATTCGAATTCAAGTTGTTGAGTGAAGTGACGTTTTCTTTCAATTAGCTCTATACTAATATATGGATTTTACAACTGAGAATAAAGTCAATTCATTGAAATCACAAGCCGATCAAAGATAATCAACCACTCAAAACCCGGAAGCATTGAATGGTCGTTTCATCTTATAATGGAACTTTTCAGCAGTACGTATCCAGGACGAAAAACCGTGTCAGGTGTGAGGAAGATACTCTTCGAAAGCAATGGAAGATGGTCGCACTCTACGTAGACTGACTGAATTTAGAACTGCACATCACTGTATCCCGACTCAGCGTTCGCGCACGAGAATGAACGTTCTGGTTCGATCCTCGATTGTCGGGTTGTGAATGTTCACGGCTGAGGAGTCTTATACTGAAACGTAAAGATCGTTCGGTTCTTTCACGTTCTCAATGGTTGTTTAACTTCGGTCAGTTAGTGACTACAATGAAATTCAACAATCTCTACAACCTTATGTTGACAATAAAATCAATACTAAATGAATGGTGATGCATCAGTTTATCAATGTGTCTCAGTATTTTTTCCTAAGATAGTAATCATATGGTAATTTCAGAGATTCAAAATAATATAATCGGTTAATCAGAACAACTCATTACGTAAGAATAGAAATTGAGTGCGAAATTAAACAATGTTCAACGTTATTTGTAAATTTAATGATACGTACTAAGTTAAATGTGTGCAAAGGTAATCAGATTATTAAAATAAATTACCTATGGATAAAATTAGTAATTGAACCCGAGAAATTTTGAGAAACATTGCCAACTGATCACTATTTTAATAGAATATATTGTTAAACTGATTCGTCACGGTTCACTTGGGACTGATTTCATTTTTAATTGTAAAAACTTGTATAGTAGTGAGGATTCATGACGAGAAATTAATTGTAAATAAATATTTCTTCGTTTAACCTGCACTTTTAACAAGATTCGATCTCTCAATCTAAGTGTTTCGTCTAAGTAAGATTGTCACACGGTAATAGCACGAATTTATTTAGGAGCCGAATCATTACACGCCCGCCACGTACGGGCTCTTGAACCATCAACTGAGCGTGAATGTTTATTGTAAAGAAAAAGCAGAATAGTTTGTAACAAAATAATTTATTTCAAATAAACCATATACAAAATTGTTTATGGAATTGATGGAATACGTTCAAGCAGTAAAATAACTTCAGTATGCAGAGTTTGTGGGAAAAGATCGACAGCCTCAGCCATAGTTGGAACAAATGGTATTCCTGTGAATTTCTTGGAACAAGGTCTAGCAAAACTGAAATCATGGAAAGAAACATGACATAGAATTTTAAAAAAGTATGATTACACAATAAGTAAAATTATCTTAATGTAAAAGCCTATAAATATCATTGCTTTCTGTATCTACATTCCAGAAGTACAGATCCTTTCATATTTTACGCTTTTTGTCTTTTGTTTGAGGCCTAATAAATAGTCAATTTCTGGGGGACTAAACAGTTGAAAAGTCAGTACCCAGCGCTTCGGTATTATGTGTACCGATCTTAAACCAGAAATAAATACAAGTACTGATGTGGTTTATCTCTATCCGGTAGTTAGATGATTCTATTTGTTTCTAGCTAGTTGAAAATTCTCGAGTGTTAAAATCGCTCTTTCAAACAAACATATAACAATGGATAGAGTAGGTGCTTTTTCTTTTTTCAAATATAAAGTATTCCTAATGCACACAAACATAAAACTTACTTTAAAAAATTTTCTACAGCATATTCAATATTACAGGAAATATAGATAATTCTTTGAATTTGTTTACAATTTCTCAACAGTTGAATAACAGAATGATCTAAAATGAATAAGAAAATGATAAGAGTAACGATTAAGATAGAGTTACTGTTGAGGTTTAATAAGAATCCCTTGATAAGATCTTTAGGAACCGAATCATTACACGCCCGCCACGTACGGGTTCTTGAAAATGGACGGATTGTGTCAAACTCTGTGTACCTACTATGTCATGGTTTTAGAAGTTTTCAGAGTTTAACAGCTATCAGTAGACACGAAAAATAAGCTTGGTTTTCCTACAGAGACGGATCTTAAGCTTTTATTCATATTTTGTGCCTTTCATCTGTTGTGTGGGTTCAAGTGTTGTAGTACGGAGTTATAAGTGGCTAGGAATTCCGTAACAAGGATTCAAGCAGCAAACTCGTCAGTTATCAAACGCAGTAAGCTGATCCTTCAGTATAATTGTGGTGATAGTGTATAAGACAAATAGTGCGAAAGAAAACAATGGAATCGATTAGCCGTTGGCGTTGTGCGCAAAAGATATGTTAATATTCGGTGGAGATATAGTGCTACTAATGCTAATTTCTTGAGACATGCTCAAGCACAGTTGAAATCACCATTTTATCAAAGAAATCAACATAGAACACTGAATTTGGTAGCTCAAACAATTTCGACATATTTTATCCGGCGGGTATTATATCTTCTGACACTTTAACCGGCTGCAAGATGTGATCAATTTTTGACAATTTTTCGAGCAGTCAGAACAAGTGACTGTTTAAATAGGTTTGTTCATTACATGCCATCATTGACAAAGCAAAAAATTATTATTAACTTGGAATTAATTACTAAACTAAATAAGAAACTAACAACTTACGTAGACCAGCTCTTGGAGGATCAACTACCACTGACAAATCATAGCATTCTGGTAAACTGTCTATAGTATTTCGTAAGATATTCTCCGCTTTACCGGCAAAAAATTCAACATTCTGGATATCTGTTAGCAAGAAAATAAATATGTAGAACTACTTTTGATAGAGGGACTGGATTGTAACATGAGATGGACAAAACAAACAGATTTAAATGTGAATTATGTTCAAAACTGATACACCTATGGGAATTTAAAAAAATATTAATAACCATAACATATTTTCAGTAAAGGGTTTTGTGGAGATTTTAGAAATTTCAATAGTTGAAATCATAAGTCGACTGAAGCTAGACCACCATGGAAAACTTGGGAGCACTGGACGGCCGTTTCGTCCTAGTATGGGACTCCTCAGCAGTGCTCATCCACGATCCCCCCGCGAGATTCGAACCCAGGACCTATCAGTCAAGAATGAAAGACTTCTAGTTAATTTAAAACAATTTACAGAGCTTCAAATGTTAACTGAAAAGTGGGTAACGGGATTTTGAGACCCACGGAAAATATCAGTTTCAGTAAGATTGGTGATTTGATTTACTGTGTTTTTTATCGTACAGACAATACACGTTAAGAGATTAAATGAAGTTGTTTCATAGTTTGGATCATAGACTGAACCTAGATAATCAATCAAATCCAGGAAGCACTGGACAGCCGCAATTCTACTGGGATTAAACCCGAGACTTTCCGATCTCGCAGTGAGCACTTCAACTTTAGACCACTGGTCCGACATCCAAATTAATTTGCAGTATTGTGCAGCGCTCTTTCTCTGTCTTTAATGTACCACTGTCTTTCACTTCATAAGACTGAAAATAGTTCTACTAAACGTACAAGAACGCCTTCAAGATATGACGGAATACACGTTAATACGAATGAGATTCGTTTCTGAATCATCGATATTTAATTTAGAATCTTATTAAATAAGATAATTACTTCACTATGAATGCGTTAGCTAAAGTCATCTTAACAAGAAATAACTCATCTTCAAGGCTCCTAAAAATATCGAAACAGATTTTATGGGTCAAACATGATAATATATTGACAAAAGGGATAGTCAGTTTACTATCTATCTGCAAAACTATTCAAGAATCAGACACTTTGTCATAACTCATAAAAATGTCAGTGGACATGAAAGAAGGTAATCCGTGTCGGATGTAAGGCAGTTACCCACCGAAGACAATAAAAGATAGTAATGCAGTATCGTGGATTGAGGTTAGATATTAGCACTGTTAGGTACCAGATCAGTGGTCTAGAGGTTAAGCAGTCGAGCACGAAACTGAAGGTTTTGGGTTAGAATCGCGAACGTTGTATCATGGATGCGCACTTCTGAGGAGTCTCGTGATAGGACGAAACGGCACCCAGTGCTTCGGGTATTCGATGGTGGTCTAACATTGATTGATTCATGATATCAATTAAAACTCAACAATCTCCACAATTCCATACTGATAGTTGTTTGAATATTTTCTTAATTCTTTCACAATAATTGTCTCTTATCAATCTACGTTTAGATGTTGAACTCGACCTAAATCAAGACCTCTCTCACACATAAAGACTGTCCATCGTTTTGTTTTTAAGCAGTTGATAATATTGTTTCTATATTGTAAGGATCTATAACGAGAATCTATGAAGTAAATAGATAAATGCATGAATTACATTGCTGTGTGGTATTGTCATTTTACTGAAATTTTTAGCACCAAATGTGATATTTAATGAAATTGTTCGAAAGATAAGTGTGATGAATAATCTACATTGTTATCCATATTAATACATTTTTTTCTGAAAGTTTTTATTCAATTAACTGTGTGACGAAGTAATATAACTATCCACACAAGGTAGATTCATGCCTAATCTAATTGAATTAAAACGACAGATTATTTGT